GCAGTGCATGGTCAAATGCATCATCTCGAAGAAGTTCACGAATCTGAGGACCAACAAAGACACCTTCCTTTATCTTAGCTTCACTTAACCTTGGAAATTTTCCATGGAGGTACTTGAAAGCTGCTTGTGTTTTGTCCATGGCCTTGACAAAGTTCTTCATCAGACCCAGCTTGATGTGTAAGGGTGATAACAAAATCTTCCTTGATTCAACAAGTGGTGGATGCTGAACACTTTTCCTCCCAGGCTCCAATGACTATCGGAGTGGCCAATCTATCTTGATGTAGTGGGAATCTCTTGCACGACTATCCCATTCGCAGAGAAAACAGCAGTACTTTGTGTATCCAGTCTGCAAACCAAGCAAGAGAGCAACAACCTTCAAATCGCCACAAAGCTGCCACTGATGTTGGTCATAGTTTATGCACTTCAAAAGTTGTTTCATGTTGTCATAGGTTTCCTTCATATAGACTGCATGATCAACTGGAATTGATGGCAAAACATTGCCATTATGTAGCAAAACAGCTTTAAGACTCCTCTTCAATGAATCAATGAACAGTCTCCGCTCATCTGGATCATGAACAATGTTCAGGGCTGCCATCACACAATCGATGTTATTGCAGGCTACATAGGGGCCTAAACATAGACTAATAATTCTATATTTAGGCACCTGTCAGATTTTCAAAAGTGAACCCCACATCTCCCAGAGATCTTGATTCCTGTTTTTGAAAGTTTGGTCCTCATCTCTAATTCCCCAATTTAGCAAAGTACCTACATACATTTAGAATGAATTGGAAAATTTTGCAGAATTCTCTATTAAGAGGATGTATTTAAATAAGTGGAAATAATTTTAGACCCTCTTTAATTAATAGAATTATTTTCTAAATTTTTCTTACCCTGGTGGATGTAAAATTTTGATTTTTAACAATAGCTTCTAGACATGAAAATTCTAAGCAGATTCTTTTATATAGATAATATAAAAATTCAGATCCCAAACCCTCTAAATTTAGATCCCCTTGATAGTCATTGGAAACTGAAATTCTCTGCTCATTCGTAGAATAGTGTGGTAAAGACACTAGCAATATGCCACCTTTCCAATGTGCCTCAGTTCTGACTTGGAAGGATAATTTCTGATGATCTGTTGGCTCTCTCCAAATCATAGATTTGGCATAGATTTCCTTTTCCTGTTCAACCACTGGCAAAGATTTGTTGCACAAGTGTTGCAGCATATGTGTGGGGCCCACCTCTTGTCCTGATCTCCAATTTTGCAGCCAAAATAAAGGTGATAGGCTTTCTTAACCATAGTGGTTATACTGCGCTTTTGTGATGCAAAAGTCACTTCACCACAAACATAGCAGAAGTTATCTGCACTGTTCACACAAGTACGTTATTTCAAAATCTGTAAACCTTATTCCACAAGGAATAATGTTTATTCCGAAATAGCTATTTTGGAAAAGCAGTAGTGTGGATGCTCCACTGCTGTTATTTCGAAATAGCTCCTCCTCAGGGCCATTCAAAGTAATTATTCCCCAATATCTCCTGGAGCTCTAATTCGAAGTAGCACATCCACATTAAGGAAGCAAGCCT